CTAGTAAGTAATCATGACCTTTTATAAGCTACTGATATAAGGTAAAAGGAAAAAAAACTTGGTCTAACAATAGTTGGGAATGCGTGATGTAAATAAAATAGTTTTCTAATACACTTAATTATGCTAAGTAAATAATTTATATAGAAAAAAATTGTATTTAGTTATAAATTATCAAAGCTAAAAAAAATAACTGCTCCTAGTCAATACTTTAGCTTAAAGAATAATGGTCGCTTTTGAATATCTCAAAGATATATATGTTTTAAATGTCTTTATTTAAGTACAGACAGCAGCACAAATCTAGGAAAAGAATTACAGAGTACACAGAACCATCGCACTTCTATTTCAAAATGTTTCAGTAAGGTAAGTAGAGTACCTTCATTATAAGGTGAGAGAAAAAAAAGTAGAAAAGAAGAAGAGAAGAGATCGAGCCAGAATGCAAGGAAACAAAAAAAGCTGCTGTGGGCAAGAGGGGGCGAGAAAGTTACCCCGTGACCCTAAAAGCTCATTGACATTGATCTTCCTTTTCATAACGACCAAGTTTTTGGAAATTTCTTACAGTCAGTTTGAATAAAGATAGAATCTATATGAAACACTCATGTAGAATGAGTTGGATCTTCATTGACTTTTGTTTTCTAATTTTGCAAGTGAGTGAGGGTACAACGGTGATGTGACTACTGGAGGATGGAGAAGCAGAAGATGGTGGTGGCCATGAGAGAGTTTTGAGGTAAGTACACATTCCTTTACATACTCCCCTGTCCACTACTGTACATGTAAACATATTACCTTGAGGAGGAGGGGGGTCTTTGCACAATATACAAAGACCTCACAACTGTAGCAGAGTTTTGAAAATATGCAATTCTCCAATATGCTCAGTTTAGGAATTGTTTTATGAACACCCCATTACCCTTTTCAATTGAGGTGAGATCAAACTAGTAAACACTCACTTGTAAATCTCCTCTGCTTTTTCTTTGACTTTGGACTGGTCTCCATATTTCAAGTCTTCACAGGCCTCCCAAAAACTCATGTTTTCTCCTAAATCGGACAAAAAGCAGATATGGATGTGCATCAGCTGTGTAACCGGTACAGTAAATGCAATGCTAACACACTATAGAACCGCCAAAACAGAACATCCCATAAGGCTAGTAGCAAGCTGCCGTGTGCTGACATTATGATGTAGTGGTCGGTTTGTACTGAAGCTGTTCATGTTGCATAACCAGGTACTCCCCCCAAAAAATTCTAAATACCACCACGTCTACTGCAAATGACATTATTAAACTCTGTGAACCATAATAGGTTTACACATTTCTTAACTTAACCAGATTTGTGGTGAGGGTCAGGAAATTGTAAAATAGTTGTATATTCAATCCAATTTATGAACATTCATGTTGAATAACCAAGACTGAGGCCACTTGTAGTTTTTCATCTCAAATGAGATATTGTATGAGCCCATATGTATGCAGGTCTTCCAAACAGAAAGATATTACATGCTAGGCCCTATGTAAGAAAGAAAGGGGTGAGGAAACGGCTGTATAAAGTCCATTTTTACTGTATATGAGTAAGCACATGTCTGAGGTGTGAAATGCGTTAGCATGTCGTAATTCTGTTTGGCCTATTATTTGGACTCTTTTACTGTGGATTTTTTATGTTTTTGGTAATTAAAATTGTATTTTATTCAGTTGTCATTGCAGGTACGTTACTTCCAAAATTGGACCTATACTCTTCCTTAATGCTCGTTCTCTAACCGTGTTTAAGTTTACACAGATTTACACAGTTGGATAGATTAAAGGGACACTATAGTCACCAAAACAACTTTAGCTTAATTAAGCAGTTTTGGTGTACAGATCATGCCTCTAAAGCCTCTCTGCTCAATTATCTGCCACTTACGAGTTAAATCTTGTTTGTTAATGTTTATGCAGCCCTAGCCACACCTCCCCTGATGGTGACTCACACAGCCTGCATGAAAACAAAATGGTTTTCATTTTCAATAAGATGTTAACTTGCTTTAGAAGTGTTTATCTTCTGCTCTGTAACTTGAACTTTAATCACACACAGCAGGCCTAGTAAGCTATTAACACAGCAGCAGACAAGAAATTCTAAATTAAACATACTGTGCAATAAGGGAAGTGTAAACATTAGATCTCTTTTGACAGGAAGTGTTTAGGAAGGCTGTGCAAGTCACATGCAGGGAGGTGTGACTAGGGCTACATAAACAAAGTGATTTAACTCTTTATTGGCTCTTAAAATAGAGCAGTGAGGCCGCAGGGGCATGATCTATACACCAAAACTGCTTCATTAAGCTAAAGTTGTATTGGTGACAATAGTGTCTCTTTAATTTTAAGTCTAAGCTATGGATGTCAGATCAGTTATGTTTTCACACCGATGAGAAGTAAGTGCATAGTGCAGAGACGCCGTCTGGGGAAGCTGGTAGGTACACAACTGGTAGTATGTCAGCCCCATAATGTAACTTTAGAATTTGAAATGTTTTTCTTCCGCATAGTTCATTTATGACATCTTAGTGCAGGGGTAGGCAACCTTTTAGCAGCACTGTGCCGATATAGGAATGTGATGTCCCGTAGCGTGCCGGTCCTATTTTTTTTTTTTTTTTAAATCGAGGGGTGTATGCTGCCGTATTCTGCTTGTGTTATTTTTACTGTAATTGCTTTGTATCATTGTATTTGTGCTCTACCATTTACCCATGTTTGCAGGTCTGTATTTAGCACTAAGCAGTTTTTGTGTGTTTGAATGTAAACAGGTTTTTGTATGGAATATGTTTGTATGTGGTGTTGGCGTGATTGCAAGCATGTATTTGTGTAGTGTTGGTTTTTGAATGCAGGGGTGTATTTACATATAATTTTGGTGTGTAACACAGAAATGTGTTTGTACGTAGTGTTGAAATTTGAATGCAGGGGTGTATTTGTGTGAAGTGTTAGTGTGTGAATGCTGAGATATATGCACTTATACACACACACACAAAGAGATATATACACACTGAAATGCGCGCACACACACACACACAGATGCACACACAGACATACTGACACACACACACAGACATGCTGACATACAAACATACTAACACACACACAGATATACAGACACACACAAAGACATACTGACACACACAAAGACATACTGACACACAGAAATGCTGACACACACACAGATATACTGACACACAAAGACATACTGACACACACACACACAGACATACTAACACACACACACTGACAGACATACTGACACAGACACACACTTTAAAACCCACCCTCCAGTTTCCTACCTTTCCTGCTGGTGGCTGAAGGTGTTGGGAGTTGGGGTCTAGCGCTCTCGGCCAGCCCCCCTCCAATTTGCCTACTCTTCTTTCCCGCGCGCTCCTATCTTTGTGGGAGGAAGTGATGCGTGGCCGTCACTTCCTCCCAGCCTGCTGCCGAGAAAGCAAGAGGCCCGCTCGCGCTGTTAAAGTGCACCGGCGTGCGACCGGGCCCCTGCTGACAGAAGCCCGCCAGGTGGTCTATTGTGCATGGGCCACCCGGTGGGCCTCCTTAATGTGCGGATTACCGGCCAGAGGGTTAGAAATAGTTGAGGCCAGCAGGGCTCACGGTGCAGCTGGCCAGTTTGCCCGCATTAAAGACGGCTCTGCGTATACGAGCTATTATAATGTATATGTTCATGAGTAGTTTATGGTATCGTGTATCGTGATATATATGAATGTGGGCTGTGTATGGGGGCTGCTTGTGGAATTGTGTGTGGATGGATATGTCACAGTGTGTGTTTGGTAGTGTGTGGGGGCTGTTTGGAGTATTGCATGTGGGGTTGTGTGCATGTATGTGGATTGTTAGTGGTGTTTCGTTTGTGCGGATTGTGTGCATGTTTGTGTGTGGGCTGTCCATATTATTTGTATGAGGGGAGGGTTATTCTGCATTTCTGTGTATATCTAGCAGTGTGGGTGGCTTCCAGTGGGGACCAGGCCGGCCAGGTACAGCTCAAGGACAGAAGCTGCAACAGGAAGCTGTGGGCTGCCCTTCTCCAGTGTGGATTCCCATTCACAAGTGCTGAGAGGAAGTGACCTGAGATCACTTCCTCTATGTGCTGCAATGCATAAACGGAGGATTGTCCTTCACCACCTTTTCGGATTAGCAGATATCTGAAGTTTTACTGGGACTCCTGATAGGACAGAGCCTGTTTGGCTCTAGCAGCCTTGAGTGCCGTGCAAAGACACCTCGAGTGCCGTGCGTGGCACTAGTGCCGTAGGTTGCCTACCCCTGTCTTAGTGCATAAGTGAATTATTATCGCCCGGTGCATTTCTTAAACGTTACCACTAAATTCCTTCTTCAGGAAGAGCTGGAAGCTTTGTCTTCCTTTGGGATCCCGAATCAACTCGCTGAAATTAAATGCCCATCTCTCCACACGCAGCTTTGTTGGGGTTTCCACACTAATAAAAGAAACAAGATGTGAATAATGTGACATTCCGACCTTGTAAATGAATAGTTTGAATAATTTAGAAAAGTCAGTTCAAGTATATCTGTTAGATTTTTTACCACTATTCCAATGTACTGGGGCTGGTATGACGGCGCCCTCTAAGGGGCAGCCAAAGGTAGTGCAGGCAGTACGGAAACCCTTTAAGCTTTAAGGAGTACAGTGTATTCTAAATTAATCTCACGGTGTCTAAGAACAACAACGATGAAACTGCACTTGCCAGAGGACAGGTTGTCAGCCAATCTACAAACAATGCATTTATCAGCACTTAGAAACAAACATCTATTTTGTTTTTCTCTAGATTATTGGGGTTTAACAGCTGGCATGACTGGGCAATCACAGTTATAAACTGCATAAGAAAGCTATACGGGTACAAAATCGGACATGTACTGTGCTGTAATAAATGGCATATGGAGACAAGCAGGTAGGCACCCTTTGGCATAGAGGCAACATGTTTTGGGGAGCAGTGCCCATCATTTTTTCACTTCACCAGCTGCCACTGTTGGGATGTCCAACCTGCGGGCCCCCAGATGTTGCTGAACTACAACTCCCATAATTCCCAGGCTATCTTTTTAATTGAAAGAATCATGGGAGTTGTAGTTCAGCAACATCCAGGGGGATGCAGGTTGGACAGCCATCGTGTACTTCATTAAACAGAAGCTTGATAAAGATTTGTCTGCTTAAAATATTAAATTTCTTTTTGATTTGATATCATTTTGATTAAAACAAGCTGCTATTTGCTGTATTTCTATTAATACAAGTTAGAAAAATATCTGTATAAAGATAAACAATGTATTATAGCTTTTTTGATTTGTCAAAGGATCATTCAAAATCCCTAAAGGATTTCAGCATCTACAATTAACAAAACCTCTTTCAGGGTTTTTTACCAGAACAGCAAAGTTCAGTTAAAATAACCTAATTTCAGCCATATTTGCAATTCTCATATTTGCCAAATTCTAAACCAACTGGTGTCCGTTTTAAAATCAGTAATTATTGCACTACTCACACTGAACAAATCCATTAGGAGGCAAATTTGCTAAATAAAATGCTAGTTTTTTTGAAGGCTAATATACTCTTAATACCGCCAGCAGGCATAGGTTTAAAATAATACAGTTTTAATAAATAAATACTTTGCTATAAATTTAATAACCTGACTAAATATATATATCAGCTATATTTATTTAATTTTTTATTTACGCTTTGGAAAATCAGTGTTTGGAGTTTGCAGTAAAGGGAATTTAATGAATAACTGTATTCATGTAGATACAAATTACAGACAAAAAAAACTAAACAAAATTTCAGCATTTACATTACTTTGTCACTTCAACAAAATATTTTCTGTGCAATTTTATCACAAAATACAAACTGAAATTGACAAGTGATAAGTTGGTTAAAGGTTTGATAGTGTTTCTGGAGATTGTAACAGTTAAAAGTGATGACATGATAGTTTTAAACGAACTACAGCTGATGTGACTTTGCTTAGCGTTGTTCTACCTACTAATACATACACGGTTAGTTACCAAAGTGCAAATTGACTGGAATTGAAAGTGAATGCTCAGCATCATGGGAAATGTCAATCAAAGACATGCGAGGTATTAAAGGGACACTATAGTCACCAAAACAACTTTAGCTTAATGAAGCGGTTTTGGTGTATAGATCACGCTCCTGAAGTCTCAATGCTCAATTCTATGCCATTTATGAGTTAAATCACTTTGTTTATACAGCCCTAGTTACACCTTTTTACATGTGACTTACACAGCCTTCCTAGTGTCATCTAATGTTTACACTTCCTTTGTTGCAAATTCTGTATAATTTAGAATTTTTTATCTCTAGTCCTGTTAATAGGTTGCTAAACCCTGCAAGAGCCTCCTGTTTATAAAATAAAAGTGCAAATTTTTTTTTTTTTAGTCTTTATTTTTTATTGTGCATGGGTAATATTCGCATGACAGTAATGCCACAACAGCATTCTTAGACAATTTGAACATACAGGTTTTTGACTGTTAGGTAGCATTTAGATGGTACGCACATGTTTTTAGATTAATAAAACAGTCTAGTTACATGCTGGTTAGTTACAATGAATTATTCTGTCACTTGGTAACAATAGCTTAAGGTTAATAGGTATAGTGAGCGTCATCGCTTTAGCTTCAGACCCTTGGTATAGTTACGCTTAACTATGCTTAAATGAGGGATATATATTTCGACCAGTAACAGCCTGTCTAACTAATCATATCCTACAGTAAGGAAGCCTTTAGTTCACACATCAAATATTGCATCAATCGTTAGTTAAATCGCATTAATGAGAGGAGTTAAATAAGCTTATTCAGATCCTGCATTTGTTATAGTAGTTAAACAAAGATTAGACATGCTTTTGTGGGTCCAGTAAATCACAGTTATCTAAAGATAGGCTGGTTAGATTGACAAGATGTGTACTCAAGTTTACAGGGTGATCTATAGGCAAACTTGTGGATGGAGTGTATCACCAGGTGGCAGATCTCATCCGATAATGGCACAGAGCTCCTGAGGGTAAAATGGTTGCAGGTAAGACCGTCTCGGTAATAGGTAGTCCCTCTATAGATGGGTGAAAGATTTCCCCTTCAGCTACACATTCGTTGTGCCAGGGTGCCCGTTGCTGGGTGCTGGGCTAGTTCTCTGCTGTGTTTGAGGATCTCCCCGACAACAGGGGTTTGGGCGGTTGCTTGTCTGCTTCTCCACGTGCCGGTAAGCCCCACGGTGCGGTAGTGGTTGCGGGCGGCTGATGTATCTGTAGGACGTCTTGTTTCCCTGCCCGGGGGAGGGAGGAAGTGCCGGGACCCCGCGGGAGGCCACTGAGAGTTCAGTCATAATGGAGGTGGGTGGCTTGTTGGGGTTCGAGGGTGCTTGCAGATGGATGACTGCAGTAAGGATCTGTGCCGTGGGAGCATACAGTCTGCCTTTTGTGCTGCCGATGTGGTTAAGTAGCCTGTGGAGGCTCTGGTCTTGACGCCATCGCACATGGCCTCCGCCATCTTGGTTCCAGTGCCTGGCTTGCGGGTCTTGGCGGCCCTTGCGGTGGTCGGGTCCTGAGGGTGGGGACCGGGATAACCCCCCGGTCCAGAGGGGGGGTACGGGGCCAGTTCCCCGCAGGTCTGACTCTGAACGCTGAAAAGCAGGCGGCGGGGCAGTGGCCATCCGACCCGCTCACCGTCGGAGTACGCCTCGATAATGTCAGTGAGGAATCCTCCTCCAGGGGACTGAAGCCCGTTGGGCCAGCCTCACCCTGGATCTAGGACCCTCTGTCCGCTGAGGGCCACCGTTGCCGGCTGGTTTTGTGTCAGAAATCATAGTTTTATAGCTTGTTTGGTCTTAGGCTGCAGGAGCTGGTCTCACTTGCGACCATTCAGCTCGGTGGTCCGGCCCTGCCCCAATAAAAGTGCAATTTACAGAGCAGAAGATACAAAAAAGAAAAACGCTTAAAGTAAGTTACATCTGAAAGTAAAATTATTATTTTGTAATGCAGACTGTGTCAGTCACAGCCAGGAGAGATGTGGCTAGAGCTGAATAAACACACACAAAAGTGATTTAATTCTTAAATGGCAGGTAATTGAGCAGTAAGACTTCAGAGACATGATCTATACACCAAAACTGATTCATTAAGCCAAAGTTGTTTTGGTGATTATAGTATCCCTTTAAGGTTATCCAACACTAGGCAAGGGCTGTTACAGGAGACAGGATTACAGAAACAGCAGCAGGTTTTAACAGAGAAAAATAGAGCATTTCACAAAGTAAAAAACTTGTCAAATACATGAAACTATATATACACACGTGATAATAAACTCACAGCTTGGCATTTAACTCCCAGAACATGGTGTCATCCGTAATCCAAGGGTTGCTGGGAAGGCACCCGGACATTATGGGATCATGCAAATAGTACTGCTCACAATATTTTAGGAGCCTGAAAATAAATAACCATTGATCAGAGCCTGCCGCTGCCCACAAAATAAATGCACTCATCAAATAATCCTTTTATACAGCTTGTTTAAATATTGGTTATAATACAGTAATCCTGCCCTTATCGCTAATATGCAAAGATACTACAGGTATATAATACAATAATTCAACATTTAGATATTAAATTTGATAATCATGTTCTTATAAACCATCTTTCACCCGTGCCGGAGCATTAGCAGGTACTCTTTATTATCAGAATCTTTATAAATGTATCCCCTGGATCACGCAGCTAGGGGAGTGGGCTTTAACAGAGCCAGGAGGTAGGCATAACAGCCAAAGGAAGTTGAGTGACAGCTAGCAAGCTGAGGGAGGGCCGAAGCTACGATGGGATTATTTATACCGGCCATTTTCTGTAGTGGCCATCTTAACTAAACCTAAACTTATCTGTCAGTTATCCCTCCCACCCTCCCTTTGACTTTGGTTAGGTTAGAAAATTTTCCTGTTTTTTCACAGCGGCAGGAAATGGCCAGGTGAAATCAGGGGGTAGATGTAGGAGGAAGTGGGCATCCTGAGGTTTAGTGTGGATAAGGCAGTGTTACACTTGGTTGGTAGTTTCGATCCCGTCGTGGCTCCGAACCTGGGGGTGTAGCGGTGTCTTGGTACACCCCTACATTGGAACTTGTGGGTGTAGCGGTGTCTTGGTACAACCCTACAATTTAATCTGCTCTAAACCACAATTTTAGGAAATAAAGACATTGAGATAGTATGTCACAGGTTGGTATGCTGTTTTTAAAACAAACTATAAAAAGCTGGTTATTGGCTACATTCTAATTTGGGGGGACACCAAATTGGGGTTTGATTGCTGATGGTTTGCTACTATAAGACACGATGGTACCAAAAAAAAGCAGTTTGGGGGAATGTTTACGAAAGACTCACCCAGCCAGGGACACTGAAGATTTTACCGTGGATCTCATAAGTGATTGCTGGTAATACATGATCTATAAGGGAGATCAGAGACGCAGTCATTAATTTTACAGAGATACAATGGTAGAGATTTAGAAATGCTCCACTAATAGAAAAGTGGGCAAATGTTCTAAAACGGAAAGGGAAAAAAAAGGGGAAGCAATTGCCATAGAATTAGCAGGAACCTCTCCCTTGGTTTCATGGTAACTGCTCAGCTTTTAAGATTTTGCTAAATTTTTCCCATCTTTTCAAAGTCATGTGATTGGTCACTTTAAGGTAATCTGGGATCTGGGACACAGTTAAACGGTTTCTGGGAGAAGTAGCAGTCTGTAATGGAGCACTCGTTAAAATAACAAATTCCTTTTCAGCACACAAGCTATATAAATGCTTTATGTTACAGAATGAAATCAGACGTGAAATAAAGCAGAACACTATTGGATTTGTGGGTAGCTCTGCGATGGAAGCAATAGAGAGGAAGTCAATGGCTCAAGCAGGTACTAAACATCTGCTCCAGAATAAGGCATGCTCCAAGTGATCTGAATACTTTTTATTTTTTAAAACTGTATCACTGTCCTTCACCATGTATGACTCTCGGGGACTCACCAAGTACCACAAGTGTTCATTTCTTAAACTAAACTCGGTTTAAAACACAATATAATTCCGTGTTGGCGAATTTATTCACTTTGGTTAATATGACTAAAAATTTGCAATTTCTTGGCTAGTTCTC